ATGCAGATGAGAGATTTTTAAATAAGCACACATGCACAGAACTAGGAAGATAGTATAGCAGGTGAGGTGCTTGCTTGACAGGTGACCAAGTAGGGTTCGATCCCATATGGTTTCCAGAGCCTTCCAGGAGTAAGCCAATGAGCACAGCCAGGTGTGGGCGTGACCCAAAATTAAAACCAAACAAAAATAAACAAATAAGCACACATGCAGCATTTAATGAAGGGAAGAAGTTCCAACAACCGAAATCACTCTATGCATATTTATTGTCCTTTCTTTCCCTTCCTTTTCTTTCTCTGTCTCTGTTCCCCCCATGCACTTGCACTCCCTCCTTGTTTAGCCCTATTGTACCTCTGGGTGTAGCTTTAAAAAACAAACAAAGGTAAAGGTAAAGGTAAAGGCCCTCCTGTTGTTCATAGATTTGCTTGAGCGGGCTCAGTTACATCTCCATTGGAGATTTTGTTGTTACTGTGTTTGGCATATCGAATACGTCACGGATGGCTTGCCAGGCTCTGCCGTGCGGGCGAGTTTTAAAAAATTGGCTTTTTATTAAACAGTTCTTTCTGGTTTCTTTGCTATCTTCTTTTATGCAAAAAGTTTAGAAAAGATCCAAAATATCAGGAAATAGAGGACATAAGAAGTAATATAAATGTGATATAACAGGAGATAACCAGAAAGGATGTCACTCATTGGCTAGAGGCAAGTGTCAGCTAAGAAAGCTGCAAAGTGAGAAGCCGGGGCTTAGAGGAATATGCTGGAAAGGGAAAAGGATCTTTGTAGGAGAGTCTAGATTTTTACTAGTGCTACATTGGAATCCATGTTAGAACTCTGGTTTTCAGTAAGAGTTGGAATGAGGACCTGAGATAAAGACTCATTTGGGGTTAAACACCAATGAAGGAGGCTGTCAGTCACATAGTTACTGGCTGATATGTTCTTCAGGGACTGTGCCCAGCCCTCCACTTTTGTTGTACCCACACTGTGAGAAGTATTAAGTTTCAGCAATTATCTAACCTACCTCTCCATCTAAGCCAACAATTGATGCCACCTCTAATTCTTTTTAGACTTTTAGTGGATGCTGTGATCTAAACAGACTATTATAGTTAGTCTTTATATTTATTTTTTTTCTCCTTCCAACTGTATACAATATACATCAACAGAGGAATAGGCACCAAAAATTAATGGTGGTTTATGAAGGGTAGAGAGAAAAATAAGAGCACTTTCACTTTTGTTCAGTACATCGGCATTTTGCATCTTTACAATGGGCCTACATGAATGCACTGGGTTTATAATGAAAATGAATGCTGTAAACTATTAGTTTTACTGAAAAGAGGATTTGAGAGAAATTAGTGTTCATTTACTTAGAAAGCAAGATAATTTTTACTGAATGGAATTTACTTAGAAAGACATGAGGGGAGAGAGGAATGTTTGTATGTTCAAGAGAGAACACAGGCATCCACACAGTGGAAAAAGAGAGAGAAAAAAGACAGAGAGAGACAGAGAGAGAGCCAGAGAGACAAAGGACAGAGACACAGAGAGAGAGAGAGAGGTATTCAAGGAAGAACATGGGCTTGGGAAGGAAACAGGAAATTAGTATTTCATATATCTATACTGCTTATATTTTGTCATTTTTATATGATTTCCCCAATAAAAATAAGTTGGCAACAGGTATTTGTTTACACACAAAATGCCCATGAGACAGAGATAACTCATCAACCTCATATTTAACATAAAAATGCTATAAAATTTATGCACAAGTTTTTGAATAGCTATATGCTTTTATTTTCTCTTGAATAAGTACCAAGAAGTGGTATGGCTGAATTATAATGAAGAGGATATGTTTAACTTTTTAAAAAGCTGTCAACCTATTTTCCAAAGCAGTTGTACCATTTTACAACCCCACTAGAAGAGTGTGAGAGTTCCACTTCTTCTATTTTCTTGAAAATACCTACCATTTTGAATAAATATCCATTGTAAACAATTTTTGGAAAGAGGACTGGAATGATAGTACAGCAGGTAGGGTGTTTGCCTTGCATACGTCTGACCCGGGTTCGATCCCCGGCATCCCGTATAGTCCCCTGAGCACTGCCAGGAGTAACTTCTGAGTGCAGAGCCAGGAGGAACCCCTGAGCATTGCACAGTGTGACCAAAAAAAGCAACAACAAAAAAATTTAGGAAATAAATATATGAGGGAATCCACCTTTTTAATACCACTACTGTGAGATGACACAAATCGATATGTGGGTAGATTTTTTTTTAGGTGTTTTCCCTACTAAGCAAATAATTCTCTATGTCTCTGTCTCTGTCTCCCTATCTCTCTGTCGTTCTCTGACTCTCTCTGTTTCTCTCTCTCTGTTTTTTTTTCTAACTAAAGTAAAAGTTTTAGGAGACCAGGAAGATAACTCAGAAGACTGAAGCACACACTTTGCAGATGAGAGCTTCAGATGTGGTCCCTGATACCACACAGGCCCTGGAGCACTGCTGGGATTGACCCCATGCACCAACCAACAACAGGTTTTTTAATTTGTTTGCTTTTTAGTATTTTGGGGCCACACTCACCTGTGCTCAGAGCTTACCTCCTGGCTCTGTGCTCAAGGCTAATTCCTGGTGGGGCTTAGGGGCCTATATGTGGTACTGGGGATCAAACCTGGATCAGCTGTGTGCAAGGCAAGCTCCCTACCTGCTGTACTATCTGTTTAGCACCTCATTAATTACATTTTTAAAAAATTTTCTTCTAAAAATAGATCAAAATCTATTTTAATGAAAATTTTTAACAAAAATTCTTGCCTTTTGCTGGAATAGAGAAGGGATCACTAAGAAAAAGATGGCTGGCGGAATCGGTTGGGATGGGAGATGTGCACAGAAAGTAGATAAAGGACCGAACATGATAACCTCTCAGGGTCTGTACTGCAAACCATAATGCCCAAAAGTAGAGAGAGATTATGGGGAATCATGTCTGCCACGGAGGCAGGGAGCGGTGAGAAACGGGGGGGTATACCGGGGATATTGGTGGTGGGGAATGTGCACTGGTGGAGGGAGGGTGTTTGATCATTGTGTGATTGTAACTCAAACATGAAAGCTTGTAACTATCAATAATTCAATAAAATAACTGACAGTAATTCAATAAAATTTAAAAAAAATTTGCCTTTTAAATTAACCGTAACTCTTTAGCTTTTGTCAGTACAATCAGGCAATAATTAAGGGAATAATTTTTCAATGCCTTTTGCAAGCTATTTGTTTTTCAGTTTTGAGGCCACACTTGGTGGTATTTGGGGCTACTCTAAGCTCTATATTTTGAGGTCATTCCCAATGGTGCTCAGAGAAACAGGCCCAGGCCTGGATTGAACTGGCTCCAATACCCCCTGGAAACTTAATACCAATAAATATTACCAATAAAGCTGATAAGTAAACTAGATCAAACAAAGACAAAAAAAGGAAAAAAATTTAAAAGAAATAACAACAAAGAAACAATTCAAAACAAAAAGTGAAAAAAGAGAAAAAAATTTAAGAAGAAAAACTAAGTGAACAACATTAGAATTGCAGTATACTTGCTACCCATTATACACAACACAATACGCTAGAAACTGAAACTCCCTGTTTATCTTGTTTCTTTAAATTAGGTGGAGAGAGCATTTCTCTAGTTTTGATTTGGTCTCCAAAATTGGGATTATTAAATAATCTACAGATACATAAAGGAAATTCAGAAAATATTTGTTGTATCCTTGCAGAAGCATAACCCAATTCCCTTCAACAGAAAACTGTGGTGATTTCCAAGATCTCTGCCTCTCCCAAAGCAGCCCCATAGCTAACTTCCTTTCTCACTACTGTACTCTGAGAAGACTCACTCCCTCAACTCAGCCACCCATGATAGTCGAATTTTTTTGTGGGGGGGGGGAAGGGGGATTCCTTTAACTCCAATACCATTTACAAAAAAATCCGGGGCCAGAGTGATAATACAGAGGGTAGGGCGTTTGCCTTGCATGCAGCCAATTCCTGGCATCCAGTAAGGTCCCTTAAGCACCACCAGGATTAATTCCTGGTTGCAGAGCCAGGAGTAACCCCTGAGCATAGCTAGGTGTGGCCCCCAAACAAAAACAAAACAAACACTTCCCCAAAAGAAACTCCCCCAAAATTCTTCCCTGTAGGGGACAGGAAGCAAAATGATCTGTCACACTCTTCCAAGAGTTGTACCATTCCACATTTCTTGTATTTTCCAAGTGTCTGGATAAAACCCCACATTGTCCCCTGGATACCTTGAGGTTAACCTGGACTAAATTTGGTTGTTCAACGAACCCAACCGCCTATTCTTGGATTGAAATTATTAACCGAACTTCTTTCACTTTTGGAGGGAGGGGTAGTTGGCCACATCCCTGGCGGTGCTCAGGGGTTACTCCTGGCTCTAGACTCAGGAATCACTCCTGGTGGTGCCCTGGGATTCCTGAGTTGGGATGCTGGGTTTCGAATCCTCAGCATGTGAGGCAAGCCCCTTACCCACTGCACTATGGCTCCAGCCCTAACCAAACTTCTTGTTGAGCAGGATACCATGGTTCAGCCTGGCACCATGATCCTCTCTCAGTTAATAATCTTTCTGAGTTTCCGGGTTTCCACAAACAGAAACCACCAGGGCCTAGGCTCCCAATTGACTTGAGCATATGGCAAACGAGTCTCTTCGCATCTGGTGAGTGGGGGTGGGGGAGAATCGCTTCACTCATCGTGGGCTCTGTGCGCCAAGAAGCATCCTGCTAGAACTTTTGGGCGGCTGCCCTTCCCCACCCCCACGCCCCACGCACACCCAGATCCGGAGGCGCCAAGTTTCAGACTGCGACCCCACCAGTCCAATCCTGCCTTCAAAGCGCCAGGAGACTTTAGAGGAAAATGAAACTGAAAGCGGGAAAGTCCCGCTTTCCAACCTGGCCAGGCCCCTCCAGCTCGGATACCGATGACGGCGGCCGCAGCCCGCGTTCTGATTGGAGGCTGCCGCGGCTATAAGTGGCGGTTCAGCCCCGGATTCGCGTTGTCGACCGGAGGGCGAGCAGCCGGGAGTCCCCTCGTCGAGGGCTGGGAGATCAGACGCCATGGCCTCGCCCGTGCCTCTCCTCCTGTTGGTGCTCCTCTCTCTGTCGGGACTGGAGGCTGTCAAGCGTGAGTGCCCTCCTTCCTCTCCCGCTCTCCGAACACTCGGTGCACCTTTAGGCACTCTTGGAAGCAGTTCCCCCAGACGCTCGACTTCTTTCCAGGCCAGGGACTGGGCTCGGACCCGGTGTCCGGGTTGGAGGGGCGAGAGGGTGGCCGGAGTGGGGAGGGGTACGGGCCCAAGCTGCACCAGCTTCTGTTTTCCCCTTGGCCGGGCTGGGAGCAGGAGAGGTCGCGCCGGCGGGCTGCGCCAAGGGGCTGACACACTGCAGGGACGCGTGGAAGCGGGAGGCTCTCGGGCTCCTTCGCGGGGCCCCTCACCCCCCGGGCAGCTGCGGGGGAGGGCGGGCTGACTGACGCCCCGAAGCGCGCGACCGGAGGTGCAGACCGCGAAAGGGCGGACACTGAGCTTCGCGCTTCGGAGACATCAGTCGGCGGCGACTCTGGCGCAAAGGCAAGGAGACAGCCGCTTTCTGGCCACGCGATTCGGGTCCCCTTGTTGCTTCCCACGCCGCATAAGTAGCGGGCCCACGAAGGGCAGGAAACGGGCGCTCGCGGAGTGATGGTGGGGTTAGGACTTTCAGTCTTACCGAACCTTTACATTGCAAGTCACTTTTCACAATAGTCACAAGCGCTTCCTGTCAACTCCCGTGCCGAGATGTCCCGTGCTTTCTGTTCTTGACTCTGAAGTGCGCCCACGATGTAAAGCCGATGGTTGTCCTCACCGCTCGCACTGAGCTCGGGCTCAGGGCGTAAATGCAGGCAGTCAGTAGAACCCGAGTGTGGGGGGGGGGGAGGGGACGGGGGGGGGCCTGTTGTGATCGTTGAGTTTTCACCTTCTCGCCTTCCAGTGGGAGAGTTCTCAGAGGCCAGATGGACAGCCCTGGGTCAGCAGTCGTCTCCTGCTTCTCTTGCCCCCAACGGAGGACTTTTCCCTCGTTGGCACTTAGCCTGGTGTCTTCTAAGATGAACTGAGCCTCCACTTTCAGTTTTGAGAATCAAAGGTTTATTCATTTGGGAGGTTGTAAACCACGGATAAAGGTCATCAAAATGGATTACTCAAGTTGCATGTTCAGGACCACACCTAAATAACTAATTAATGAATACCCCATAGTATACTCTCATTTTTTTTCTCACAAACGCTTCTGTGAAGCATTTTCCCACCGTGGGAAAAGGTATTAAATTTATAATTTATTTACGAAACTGGAGCGATAGCACAGCCGGTAGGGCGTTTACCTTGCACATGGCTGGCTGGGGTTTGATTCCTCCGTTCCTCTCCAAGAGCCGGGCAAGCTACGGAGAGTCGTCCCGCACCCCCCTCACCCCCCCCCTCCCAGAACCTGGCAAGCTCCTCATGGCCTATTCCTTATGCCAAAAACAGTAATAAGTCTCACAATGGAGACTTTACTATTGCCAGCTGGAGCAAATCGATGAACAACGAGAGAACAGTGCTATAGTGCTACATTTACAAAACAAAATATAATACCTACACATAATTATTGATATTTGCCAGTGACTACAGATACCCTTATGAAAATAACACAGTGACATTTAAAAAAATTCTGATTTGGCGTGCTGAAAGTAGACTATAGACCAAACATGATGGCCGTTTGGTATCTGTATTACAAACCGTCCATCCAAAAGGACAGAGAGAAAGAGGGAATGTGCCTGCCACAGAGAGGGAATGGGGAGGAGGAGATACTGGGAACATTGGTGGTGGTAAATGAGCACTGGTGGAGGGATGGGTACTCGAACATTGTTAGTCTGAAACGCAATCATGAAAGTTTGTAAGTCTCTAACTGTATCTCACGGTGATTCATTAAAATTTTTTTTAAAAATATTTAAAGGAGGGGCTGGAGAGATAGCACAGCGGGTAGGGCGTTTGCCTTACACGGAGCCAACATGGCTGACACGAGTTCAATTCCTCCGCCCCTCTCCGAGAGCCTGGCAAGCTACCGAGAGTATCTCGACCGCATGGCAAAGCCTGGCAAGCTACCTGTGACGTATTCGATATGCCAAACACAGTAACAAGTCTCACAATGTTACTGGGCCTGCTCGAGCAAATCGATGAACAACGGGAGGTCCGTGACCAATTTAAAAGAAGTTCAAAAAAAAATCCCGATCTCAAAAATTTCCTAAGTAATACATGTCACACATAAACCACTTTTGGAAGATACATAAGAAATGAATAATGCTGATTTCATCTGTGTGTGGAAGAGGGCCTGTTTTTTCCTTCTCCTGTTTAGGTTTTATTTTGTTGTGGACATAAAATTAAATTTTCAGTTAATCTCCGAAAGTCAAGAAACCTCTCCTAAAGTCACAGAGCAAGTCAGTGGCTGAATCCAGTTACACCCAGGCCTGTCTAATCCTTGTTCTCTCTGAAAAGATCACTGTGATTTTCTTGTAAAACCCAGCCTGACTCTTCAAAAAGACTTCCAGACAGTATGAACCTGTACTCTGACATCCTATAATTTATGATGCATGAATTGGGGTGCAAGGGGGTACAGCCAAGGTGCTTAGGTATACTCAGAGGACTATGTGATGCCAGGGATCTAACTACGGTTGGCTGCAGACAAGGAAAACGCCTTAACCACTGTACTTGTCTTGGTCCCTAATGTACTAATGCAAAGAGCTTTCTGATTTAGCTTTATTTTTAACTTTATGGGGGTGGGGGAAATCAGTGCTTCATGGAAACCCGCAGTCCCACTACCAGTGGTGCTAGTGACCTTTTCTTTAATAATAAGGTATTTCTAGAGAGGTACACCTAGTTGGAATGCCTGGTATTTTGCTTATTCCTAATACCCCTTGTCATAGATAAAAAGGTTCCCTGAATATATGTTTATTTTAATTATACACATGGATTAGTGAAGTTTTGTTTAGTAGCAGATGATTCTTTTCATTTGGGATGAAAAATACAGTTTGTCATATTTTCTTTCTATATTTTTATAAATCATCCAATCACACATCCCAATTTTAGAAACCATTATACCATCATATTATGTGATGGTCCCAATATGGTTAGATATCATGGTCAGTTGAGGGTGGAAATTAAAAATCCTCTCTCATGTTCATTATTCCACTTGATCATAATGGAGCATTTCTTCTCTCCAGTTTGCAATAGTCCTTACCATTCCCTGTCATATATACAAAGCCTAATTTACTCATTTATGGTAACTATGTCAACTTCTGTCAGGCATTTAAATTTTGTGTGGGTTTTTTTGTTGTTTTATTTAGTTTTATTTTTGTTTTCTAACTCTTCAAAAAATCATATGGGGATTTTGATCAAGATAAAGAGGTTGTATTTTGTAGAACATACCTTGGTTTAAACAGTTAGGAACCTGAACAAGGTAATATCAGCAACAATGACACCTGCCTTTAATAGAGCAATTGTTGTGTGCCAGGTACCATACTAGACTCATAATACATATTGGGAAGTCAGATGTGTGTGGATATAGGTAGGAGAGCTAAGTGGAAGATACAAAGGAAGTGAAGAGATAAGAGAAAAATGAAAGTACTGAAACAAGGTACTTTCAACAAGGTATCATGAGTCATTTGATGGAACAAATATGGAGGGTATCAGAAGTGAAAAATTAAGATTGTAAAGCAATTTGAGGTCAGATCATATATATTTGAGTGACAGGAAATTTTTATATCTGAGAAGCTATAAAAGGGCCTGTGCAAGGGAGATTATGTGGGAAACAAAATAAATCATGATTATCCCTTAAAATGGAGATAGCCTTTTGGATAAGAAGTATCTTATTTGTTCAGAGTAGAAATGCTCAATTACTATTTTAGGAGAAATGATTATATTTAAATACTTGGTTCTGATATAGTATTACACCAGGGTCACCTCAATTGTACAAACACACTCTGATATTTTTAATTTATCTCTCTATAATGTTTCTAGGTACTCCAAAGATCCAAGTTTATTCTCGCCACCCACCTGAGAATGGAAAACCAAATTTTTTGAATTGCTATGTGTCTGGATTCCATCCACCCCAGATTGAAATCGAATTGCTGAAAAATGGAGAGAAGATGAAGTCAGAACAGTCAGACCTGTCCTTCAGCAAAGATTGGTCTTTCTATGTTCTGACTCATGCTAACTTCACTCCCACTTTTGAAGATGTATTTGTTTGCAAAGTCACTCATGAAACTCTCCCTGAGCCCAAGATTGTTAAGTGGGGTGAGTTCAAGTTCTTTCCTCAGCTGCTATTATTTTTAGCTTAGCCACTATATAAAGCTGGTTTCATATTAAACATTCTTCACACTGTTACATAAACTATGATAAAACATGCATTTAATAAACAAAGAAAAATTTTAAATAAATAAAAATTATTACCAGGGGGAAAATCAGCATGCTGGAATTGATAGGAAATGTTATTAAAGCTCTGGTTAGTGGCACTTGCTGGCACTCTGCTCAGCATGGTTCCTGAAACAGTGGCTTCCTGCAGTGAGAGCAGGGAGCCTCAATAGCACTGATACAAAAGCAGACTTTCTCCCAGTGTTTCTTATCTTATGACTTCTTTGAGCTTTCATGGCATCTCCTAGATACTTGGACCAATGAGTCTATAAAACCTGCTATTCTAGTGCCCTACTCTCCTGGCCTCTTCTATTACTCTGACAGGGATGGGCTCTAAGACTAATAGACAGAGATGGACCCTCCTGGGTAGTTACTAAGCAAGGAGTTTGTGGTCAAAACAGCTAGTTATTCCTGCCTTAATTATAATTGTTTGAAACACTTGTTAATACATAGTATTTAAAAAGTAAAACACTGCTTTATTTTGCCCATTTTCTTTTTCCTAGATCGTGACAACTAACCTGAATCAAGGAGGTGAGTTTCTGTTCCTTAAAAAATGCTTTTCTCAGGACTGGAGAGATAATACAGTAGCTAAGGGAATTGCCCTGTATGTGGCTGACCTGGGTTTGATCCCCAGCACCAATATGGTTCTTCAAGCACTGCCAGGAGTAATCCCTGAGCAAGGCAAGCTGGAAGGAAGGGAGGGAGGGAGGGAGGGAGGAAGGAAGGAAGGAAGGAAGGAAGGAAGGAAGGAAGGAAGGAAGGAAGCTAGCTTTCTGGATTCCTTGTACCATATGGTTCCCCCTTGCATACTGGCAGGGAGGGAGGGAGGGAGGGAGGGAGGGAGGGAGGGAGGAAGGAAGGAAGGAAGGAAGGAAGGAAGGAAGGAAGGAAGGAAGGAAGGAAGGAAGCTAGCTTTCTGGATTCCTTGTACCATATGGTTCCCCCTTGCATACTGGCTATAGCCCTCATGACCACTTGCACTGCTGAGAAGGGTCCCCCTCCTCCAAATACAAAAAAAAAAAAAGGAAATCAAACACAAAAGAATTATTTTTTTTCACTATTTTGTTTCACTATTTTTAACCCTCATAGGTAGGATATTGGTGAGTAGCATTTCAGCAAAAGAGTATACAATGGGGGGGGTAATTTCATCTCCTGTGAAAAGGTGTGAGGAAGTGGTGTGGTGGTCACTCTAACATTGACCCTCTAAAAAGTGCCAGTTTCCCAATTGACTACCACATTTCCCTTTACTAGTTTATTTTAGTGGTTATGCTTATGAGAACTAGTAAAATTGCCATGATCTGAAGAGGGAGAATTTCTTTGTGTCCTCCTCCTCTATGAAATGACTCAACAGAAAAATTAAAAATGGGAGCTCCGAGGGGATGCTGTGCTGTGGCTAACACAGGCAGTTACTCACAAGGTTTTATCTTTCTTCTGTTATTTCTACATTGGACATCTCTAGATCTTTAAAAAAGTAATCACTGTTCAGTGGTAGAGCATCTTCCTCCCAAGTGTGAGTCTACATTTTATCCCTTGCACCAGCCAGGGGTGGGGGGTCAGGAGAACCACTGTCTTCCTTTGAACAGCAGTTGCTTTATTCTTCATCCAGAAAAGAGATGTAGTGCTGCAAATGTCCCATTTCTTTGATCTAGAAAATATTCTGCAGCTGCTTCTTTTACAAATAGTAATTTACACAGCAGAAATTAGATATATATAGTGTTTGTGCTATGTATTCTAAATAACTATTTGCAAATAAAATTTTAATTTTTTTCAGGCTTGATTTGAAGATGCTTCATTTGAACGAATTAATTTTAAATTCTTCTTTCTACTATTGTTATAAATGCTTTTATGCTTTATTTCTGCCAGTCAAGAAATTATATGACGGTTAAAACAAATATCACCTCCTTGATAGTTTTGCTTTGAGCTCTATTCCTCCATGTTTTACCTGTCTGCAGGTAGATCACTTGATGGAATGAAAAGCAGTGTGGCTTTGTGACTGCCTAAGTAATGCTCTGGATTCGATACCTGACACTGGAGGAAATAATTACTTTAAAAAGATAGTTAATCTATGCTTTGAATAAATTTCCAATTTGTATGCATTGCTAAGAATCTCAATGTGAAATTCTGGAAAGATTAAGTAATAAAATTTGTTGTGGAAAAAACTATTTGTTCTATGAAATTCATATTTTCTCTTTTCAAGTCTTAGAGGTGTGATTTTGCATAATATTCACTTATCTATCAGCAATTCAAACAGTGGTAAAATTTGATGTGTTCCATTTCTTATACGTCACTCCCTCTCAAGTTGCTTTGTTTTCAAATAAGAAAATAATCCTTAGATTATTATTCTGTCACTTGGAACAGAATATAAACTTCAGGCAGCAAGATTTCGCTTACAGTGGAAGTGCCTCAGTGATCTGCATATTTTATTTATTTATTTATTTTTTTTTTGTTTCAAAGATAGAGTTTTTATTTATTTATTTAATTTATTTATTTATTTATTGAATCACTGTGGGAAAAGTTACAGAGCTTTCGGGTTTAGGTCTCAGTCATGTAGATACCAAACACATTTCCCGCTACCAATACTCATTTTCAACCCCGAACCCCAATAGACCCCCACCTCCCACCCCTCCCAGTTCTTTGTGAGGCAGATGAGTTCTAGTTAATACTCTATCTACTTTGACTAGATAGATTATTTCGATAGAAGATGCACAATTATTGTTTAGAGTTTACGACCCCCCCCCCCCCAATCAGACATGCTAAAACAGCGTTGTGAAATGATTTGCTTTCTACAACTTGGTTTAAGAATAAAATGATGTCACGCGGTCGCGATAGCGGCCGCGCGGTTTTGAATTTCTGCTATTTTACTTATTGATCCTGGGAGAATTTCTATTAAAAGTTAGCTAGTTAAGAGATTGGTTTCTGTGCCATGGAGTCGTGGCCGTGCCGGAGAGCCGCTCGTGGGGGGCAGCTGGCGACCTCGGTGGGGCGTGGGGGACGGCCCACAAAGCCCCCCTTCCCATGAGGTCCCCGCCGCTCCCCCGAGCCCGGCTCAAACCCGCTTTCCACAAGGCTCCCGTGCGGCCGCCATCTTTCTTTCCAGAGAGGAGCGGGCGGGCTGGTCCGATCTGCATATTTTAGATGAGAAATAGGGTCCAGAGAAATTAGATGATTTAAGGTGACAGATTTGGCTTGTACCCAGAGTTCTTTCCCCAACTCAAGACAAACTGAATGTATAGGCATTAATATTAAGCAAAACTATCTGAAGGATTGGGCTGGAGCGATAGCACAGCGGTAGGGCATTTGCCTTACAAGCGGCCAACATGGCCGACCCGAGTTCGATTCCTCCGCCCCTCTCGGAGAGCCCGGGAAGCTACCGAGAGTATACGATATGCCAGACACAGTAACAACAAAGTCTCCAATGGAGACGTTACTGGGCCCGCTCGAGCAAATCGACGATCAACGGGAGGGCCTTTATAAACTTTACTATCTGAAGGATTAAAGGATTGAATATTTTAGCAAGCAATAGGTGTACTTTGAATGAAACATTTAGATTTTTAAATTTCAAGGCATAGTTTATACATGTTGGCCAACTTTGTACACTTGTTTATTTGTCCAACAATTTGACTTAGCTAAGACTAGGAACTGCCAAGGTAAATAAAACACCACACTGCTCTCACTTTGCTCAGTGTAGCAGAAAGGCAGTTATCAACTCAAACAATTAAAATACAACCTGACAGAGAGTACAACATAAGTATGATAGAAAAATATGTTTAGAGACACTGGTTAGGTGAATGTTAAGGAAAATCATTTGCTTGAACGGAAACTTGGTAGTTAGTTGGCTGGTTTTCCTGCCTGCCCCTGCCTAACTGGAAAGTGGGGCAGGGGCAAGTGGGAAAATTATGAGTACCACACGATAGTGGATATGGATGATTCCACACTGCAAAGCAAAAGTAACTGGAGAAAAACTGGTAGGAATTTAGCTGAATAGATTGAGAAGTAATTTATTTAGAACCTTCACTCTCCCTTGGAAACTTGGTAGTTAGTTGGCTGGTTTTCCTGCCTGCCCCTGCCTAACTGGAAAGTGGGGCAGGGGCAAGTGGGAAAATCATGAGTATCACACGATAGTGGATATGGATGATTCCACACTGCAAAGCAAAAGTAACTGGAGAAAAACTGGTAGGAATTTAGCTGAATAGATTGAGAAGTAATTTATTTAGAACGTTCACTCTCCCTTGGATGTACATTAGAATCATGTTTGGAACTTATTTAGAATATTAACTCGTTTGTCTTACCTCTAACATGCCAACCTTTCTGTGGGTTTGCATCTGCACACAGATCCCAGGGCTGTGTCCTTACTGAAGACTGAGGAAGGATCATTAGAAAGATGGTACAGAGATCAACATGCTTACCGTGCATGCTACTAATTAAGTTTAAATTCCTGCATCACATATGGTCCTCTAAGCACTACTAGAGGGTCACTCCTAAGCACAGAGCCAGGAATAGCCCCTGAGAACCCTGGATGTGGTCAACTGCCTGCCCCCCCAATCCCCATTATGGTATGCATATTTCAGTGCTCTAAAACTCCTCTGTGCTCTGCTTACTTGCCCCACTTGCTCCTTATTAAAACTTGGCAACCACAAATTGTTTTTACTGTTTCTATAATTTTGCCCTGTCATTCACAAAGTTCAGATCATAGAGTATGTCATCTTTTCAGATTGTCTTCTTTCACGTAGTGGATTAAAGTTTCCTCCAGGTCTTTTTATGACTTGACAGCTCATTTTGTGGCATATTGAATAATATGCCATTATCTGGACTGCTACAGTCAATTTTTCCTTTCACTTATTTTTATTTATTTGGACTACATCTGGCACTGGACTAACTCTTGGCTCTAACTCTGGAATTACTTCTGGCAGTGCTCGGGGGACAATATAGAATGCCAGGGATCAAATCTGGGTTAGCTGCATACAAGACCAAGTTCTACCAGTGCACTATCACTCTGGTCCCTCCATTCACTTATTGAGGTTGGTTACAAATTTTGATCATTATAAAGTTGATGTTGCTGAACTCCATCATCAACATGTTTGAACGCCCCATCCTAAACGGGCAGTGTATTGACAGCACGCCTCAGGATGTCCGCCTCATGAGGTACTGAAGCCATGTCCATAAAGTTGATATAGCCATTGAGTGCAGGTTTCTATGTGTACATAAGTTTTTACAGTATTGTTTTAAAAAAATCTCTAGCTACTAATACTGTATTGGTATTGGTTAAAGTGACTTAAATCAAAAAAGGACTTTCTATTCCATGTGCTTTAACTGAATTATTTTGTGAAAAATTATTCTGTGATAAATAGTCCAAAGTGTATGCCTTTGGAACATGCCCAAAACCCCCATTTCAGAAGAAGAGATCAACCCAAGAGGATTAATGTTAGAGCTTAATTAAGCTTATTAAATATACCTGCAAATTAAATAAAATGTCTCAATATCATTTAAATATTTTATACTAACACAGTATATTGCTGAAACAAAAATGCAGTTTCTAAATATACATAATGTAAAAAATAAGAATACATAATGTAGGGGCTAAAGTGATAGCACAGCGGGTAGGGCATTTGCCTTGCACGCAGCTGACCCGGGCAATTCCCAGCATCCCATATGGTCCCCTGAGCACCGCCAGGAGTAATTCCTGAGTGCAGAGCCGGAGTAACCCCTGTGCATCGCCGGGTGTGACCCCAAAAAGAAAAAAAAGAAAGAACACATAATGTAAAAATACATAAACTATTAAGAAACTACAGAACTAATACTAAAATTTATAGTAACACATGCTTATAAAAAAAACCACTCAAATGGGTATTTAAGAGGATTTCATAAAGTTGACCAATATATTAAAAATTCAATTTGCTAAATGCCATTTTCCTGAGTATTGTTTGATATTTTTCTATAGCCCTGTTCATGTATACGGGTGAGAGACAGAAACAGAGTACGGAATGAAAGGTGATATAGGAACAGAAGCTAAGGTGGCAGGGGGGAAAAAACGAAAGCAGACTTCAATTTTTTTTTTTTTTATGTAGGAGTACTGCTATTTATTCAGTCACTGATTAGGCTGATTGAATTGTGCATGAACTCCACCTTACATTTTTCCCCCAGTTTTTATAATTTTATTTATTGAATCACTGTGAGAGCAGTTACAAAGCTTTCAGGTTTAAGTCTTGGTCATATAATGAAACACCCATACCTTCACCAGTGCCCATTTTCCACCACCAAAAACCCCAGTATACCCCCATCCCACACCCTCCCCCTACCTGTCGGACAGATGATTTCCAAATTACTCTCTCTATACTTTGATTACATTCAAAATTTCGACACCACAACCATCATTGTTATTTGGAATTTTACCCCAACACTCAGTTCTGCCACAAAGGCAACAGTAGACAATTTGTTTTCTGTTGCTGGTTATGAATAACATATGATGTTGCATGGCTGCAGCAGTGGCCACGCGATTTTGAAATTCCAAAATTTTAACAATTAAATCCAGAGGGATTTCTTGCCAAAACCTGCTGGGTTCCAATATTTGTTCCTGAGTCTCTGGGATCATGGCCATTAAGCAGCTTGATCCGGAGCCAGAGAGGCCGTTTGTGGGCGGCGACTCGCGGTCTCCTTGGGGTGGGGAGCAAAGGGCTGGCTCCACCCCCATCCCATGAGGCCCCGCGTGTCTCATCACCGCAGGCCCAAACCTGACTGTCCAATGACCTCTGGCGAATGGCGGCAGAGACATTATATGACCAGGGGAAATAGGCAGAAGGACAATACCCTTTCCCCCCTGGGGTGGCCTGACAACAGTAACCTACTGTGTGGTCCAGATGCATTTCTGCCAAAAGCCGCTGGGTTTCAAGATTTGTTTCTGAGTCTCTGGGATCATGGCAGTTAAGCAGCTTGATGAGGAGCCTGAGAGGCCATTTGTGGGCGGCGACTTGGGGTCTCGTTGGGACAGGGAGGAAAGGGCCAGCTCCACCTTTATCTCGTGAGGCCCCATGTGTCCCGTCACTGAGGGCCCAAACCTGACTGGCCTCTGGAGGATGGTGGCCACTGGGCCGCCAGGGAAACAGGCCAAGGCACGAAACCTATTCCCACCTGGAGTGGCCCAGCACCGGTAACCTACTGCAGGGAC